TTTTTTATCAAATTATTGCTGCCTTGGTGAGACTTCTTTAAAAAAAACTTTTTAAATAATGCTGTAACCACTGTTGAGTGCGACCAATGATCAATGACCAAATCTGCCAAACCTAAATATGTGATTACAGTCTAGCCATAAACCTATAAAAATCACCATGTACATAATTAGAAATTGTTATCTATATGCTTAAAGGCAAAATAATGGACAATTTACCGATTGTTGCCTTATCCGTCTCGATTTCAGCCAGCAGGTCTCCCTCACCGAGTTTCTCACCCACCTTCTTCTCCCAGCGCTGCACGGTGCCCATAGTCATGGTGGGGGAGAGAGCTGGGAGAAGAATCTAATGAAAGCAAGACAGAAAGTCAATAATATCAGGAATGCTTGCATATGCTTAAACTGGCCAATATCCCAAATATTTTATTTTGTTAAATATTTAACAAAATTAGTAATTCAGTTTGTAGTAATTTTCATATTTGGTCAACATCTCATACCTTCATGTGAGGTGGGAAGGAGCTTCCAGGAACTTGTGGCGAAGCAGGAGCAGCAGCAGGCGCTGCTGGAGGGGGAGGGGCAGCTGCAGGTGCAGGGGCGGAGCTAGCGATTTTATCCAATGTAAGGTCCTTAAATGCAGGGATGAGGTCAGGACTAAAGGTCAAAGGATAGATGACGTATATTAGGCGGGAAAATATCAAACATACATTCTATTTCACATACACACATATCAAACATGCAACTTTATGCTTTAATAAAAAGTCAAGATCAAGAAACATTTAGGTACATCACTAAGCCCTTTTTTTATGATGCATCGTTTCTCTGTGGTACCACAAAACCAATAGGAAAGTTTCCTCTCATTATTTTACATTATTAAGGACATTATGCAATATGTATACAGAAAACAGCAGCTCTTATGATGCTCTGTATCTTGGCAATGCAGCTAAAAATTATGCTTACTTGTCAACTGTAATGCAAATGACAGCTCCAATGGCCACATCTCTTGTACCCTGAGGGACCAAGATCTTGGCAAGGTAGCACTCCTCCAGCATTTCAAATCCAACCGTAGCCTTGTCTGTTTCAACCTGACCAAATCAAAACAGAATAGGTAGAATTCAGAATTATACCATGGGGCTGTTGAGCGTTTGATTCTGATTGGTTGACAGGTGCTCCAAGGTGCCACGCTCCATGCCGTTGCCTCATTACCATGTCAGATGTACATTCATATTCAAACATTCAACAGCTGTCATCAATTATTACTTAATCTTGTCATCATTATTAAACTATTAAGTGTCATTTTAAAAGCTGAATATTGATAGGAGTCTGTGGCTTTGTCTTGTTGGTAAAAAGCTGAATGTGCCTCACCTCAGCGATCAAATCTCCCTCATTGATTTTGTCTCCTTCTTTCTTCTCCCAGCGTGCAATGGTGCCCATCTGCATAGTGGG